TACTAGTACTAGTACTACTACTACTACTGCCCTAGTATAGTACTACTACTACTACTACTACTACTACTACTACTACTACTACTAGCCTTGTTCTTCAGAGGTGGTAGCTTCCACCAGCTCTTGGCCAGCAAGCGCAAGCAACACCCATCTTCGACCAGCAAACCATGGTCTTTAGTTGTATACTTGGACCTGGGCATGGTATGCCAGTTTCCTCCAATTTGGCCAGCGCCTCCATTCCACAGACAGTTGGCTCAGCATAGCTTTGGTCAGATCCAGCAATGTATCAGCTGTGGAAGCTGGTGTTGGCCAAATCACCACTGCTCTGCTTAGAAGCTTTTTGCCATGAGCTGATTCATCCACCCACTGGCTTTTTGTTGAAAGGCTCAGAAGGCCAAGATATCAGGCTCCACTTCACCTTCTCCATGCTGCTAGCTGATGGTGCAGCCCAGAAGCAAGTTTGGAGCAGCAAAGGCGACAGTGGCCCCAATGTTCGAGCCAGTGGCATGCCACAGAGGACCAGATGCACTGCAACATCACCAAGTACAGCCAATTGGTGCTGACCAGTGATGCAGAGATTCTCCAGTCATATGCCAAATTGGATGCCAAAAAGAGCCAGTGTACCAAAGCAGAGTTTGACATGTGGCAGCAGGCCACAGGTTGGAACCACAGCTCCAAGGCTTTACTTCTCGACCAAGACTTGAAACCCATGGGCCAATTGAGGCCATGCAGCCAATTTACATGATTACATGCATAGCATACTGCAGGGGGTAGCACCCATTGTGTTATACCAGTGGCTGTGTGCCATGGAAGAAGGTTTCCAAGTATGGTCTGGCTTGGAGGCTTACTTCCAATTTTGGGTTTTCCCAAGAGCTTGGAAGTGCCAGCATGTTGGATATTTCTCCAAGAAGAAGATGACAAGCCACAAAAACAATCAAAAAGCCTCAGAGTCCAAGCTTCAGAGTGTTTAGCCATATACCCAATTGTGCGCCAGTTTGTTTACCATGTGGCATTGCCCAATGGCCTCCAAGCTCCAGCTTGCCAGGCTTTGCTGGCAATGGCATCTCTCATTGGCCAGGTCCATGATGGAAACCTTGCTGGCATCATCAGCAAAGGCACTTTATTGCCAGCCATAGAGCTGGCCATACAGTGCTTCCAGACTGCCTTCCCAGAAGTGTCATTGATAAAGAAATGGCATTGGCTGCTCCATATGCCAGATACACAGCAACGATTTGGCTTCCCCCCATCATGCTTTGCCAATGATAGAAAGCGCAAGCCAACCGGCCAACTGGCCACTAGTTTGCTAAACAAGAAGAATTTGAAACCAATCTCTTGGAGCAAGCTCTTGCCAAGGAGATCTGCCACTTGGACCAGCCACAGTTGTTCAAAGATGGTGTGCGTTTGGTCGACCCCATCTCAGCTTCCAAGAAAAGTTTACAAACTTTATCCAATTTGATTGGTGAGCCCATTGGAGAGGCCAAGAGCAGCCAGTGTGCCAAAGTGAACCATATGAGCTGCTTCAAGGATAACATTGTCATATACCAGGCAGGTGAGTCCATGGGGATTGCAGAATTGCATTTCCTATTGCATGATGTTGCCACTACCTTGGTGAAGTCTTGGCTGGTCAAAGAATGGCTACCGCATAAGCAATGTGCAATTTGCCAAGTGCTGGACCACAACTTGGGATTTGTACCTACAGCAGACATCATTGCGCCTGTGATTTGCCACAAAAGCACAGGCACAGCCAAAGTGCTTCTGCCTTACCCAATCTATTCCCAAATGCTGAAGAAAAGCATCCAATCCATGCGCTTGCTGGTTTTGTCTTTCTAAGAAGCACCAAAATTGGCTCTATGGCATTTCATCAAGCCAGTGAATGCATGAAAAGTGGCAATGCAATAGTCGCCTGGCTTGGCATTTTATCAAACCCAGCAAAGTGTTCATGTAGGGTGTGTTGGTATAGTTTATTGGAACATTTTGATATGAACAATTAAAAGGCTTGCCATGTAGCATTTCCATCAAAAGAAACATTTTTCAAAACCATGTGATTTTATTCGATGTAAATAAAAGCCACCAGCTAAAATCAAGCAGCTGGTTACTATCTTTTTTATTTTCAAAGCTTATTTTCTTTACCATATGACCTTTAAAAAGTAACTTGTTAACTCTTGCTAACTAGTTATAACTTTTTAATAATTTCATGATAATTTGGTTAACTCTACTTAACATGTTATAAAAAACAGATTATTCAAGATATTACGGCCGGTAAGAACGCCGTTATGAAGATTTTGATTACGGCCGTGGCAGACCAGGTGGACGTCATCGCGTGCGATGCCAATCAGTTCACGAACCGCAACTTCCGGGGCGATCGACATGCCCATCCGGCGACCGGAGCTGTCCTCACCATCCTTGACCAGATCCTTGTTTCGGTGAACAAGAAGCGTGGGGCGAGCAAGCGCATAACCTATAACTGGGAGGTCTCAACCCTCGCCAGCGAGCAGCTCGCCGCTTTGGAAGGTCTGGACGCCGATTGCGACTCTATGCTACAGATCGCCTTAAATTACGGCAAGGACATGCATACGTTGCGGACGAGAACATCCGATACTCCGGATGATCGTGGACGAATTGGATACGAACAGCCTCCACGTCAGAAAGAGACTACTATTAAGATTAACGAACTCCTTAAGCATTTGAATCATCTTGATCTGTGTCTGAAGAGCAGCGATTTGGGTTACCATCATCCATTCCAGTGCAATTTTTCACTTTCACCAGAAAAATTCAATCACCTAGATCAGAGAAGGATTAGATCAGAGCAGGGTCGCATGAAATTTTATGTTGTTTTACTTTTTTGCATTTTTTCACATGGTTTTATCAATTTTCCACATTTTTGATCATATTTTCACATTTTAAAACATTTTTCCACATTTTTCACATTTATTTTTCATTTTATTTTTTGTTTTAAAAAAAGTTACTCTTTTGGGGGAAAACACCTCAAACACAACATGGTTAATCAAATTGTGTTTCTTGGGGAGAAGTTATCCTAACAGCTGAACACAACTGACTGCAGCAGTCATATCACGCTCCAGTTTGCATGTGATATTTTTGCATCTTTTTGCATATTTTTGCATATTTTCTCATGTTTCGAGATTTTTCGAGATATTTCGAGATTTTTCAAGATTTTTTGGGATTTTTTGAGTTGTTAAAATGATTTTTCCTTTTATCCCCTCGAGATGTTTTTAAGATGTTTCGAGATTTTTCGAGATTTTTTGAGTTGATTGTTGCTAAGATTTTCATTTAAAACATTTTTTGCATTTTTTGCATTTTAAATCTCTTATCGAGATTTTAAATCTCTTCGGAAAGTCTTCCATTCCAAAACCTCTCCGGCGCAGGGTATTGAATTTTTTTGGTGACACTTGCCAGCCGACACAAGATCAGAGTTCGTGGCCAGCAATCCGCAGAGAAACGTGGCGAGAAGAATGCCGAAAGACTTGAACGTTTGAAAGAGCAATCTCGGCAGAAGAAACAAGCTCGTCGAGCAGGCTGGGACCAGTCCTGGCAGCCATCGGACCGCTGGTCCTCAGGTGCATCAAGCTCATGGTGGTACGCCGGTTCCTCCTCATCATCTTGGAACCCTGGATACCGAGGATACAGGAACTGGTAAGTAGTCTCAGAGAAGCCGATATACCGGCTTGATTATAGCTAAGTGCCGGAAAGCTAAATGCATATTTTGAAAGACCCAGATACATCAAAACTTAAGGCCCTATAGATTTGGTTTCGACTTAACGATTTGACTTGAAAAAGAAGATCTCCGATATTCCGGAACGTTCGATGCAGCAAGTATGCCTTTCGTAGATTTGTAAAGATTATCTGACGCAACCTAGATGAGCCAGAATGGCATCTACGGTCTAGTTCTGCGAAGACAGAACTTTTGTAATTCATTTGCATCTTTTGGCTACCAAGCTTTTGTACTTTAGAGATCGTAAGCTTCGACGCGAAGAAAATTTGTGTCTGTTTTGTGTTTGGTAGTGTCCTAGGTCCCCTAGGCGTGTCTACGCTATACGTGTGTAGCACCTGTTCTCTTTGTATAGATTAGTCTGTAGCTCTTCAGTCCGCTTTCGACCTAATTCATTTGGCTCAAGACTTAGTAGCCCAATACCTGCATCCGCAGCCGTAGAAAAGGTGTGCATCACTGCCGCTCGCACACCGACCGTCATTCGTGTGACTCACTTGGTGTTTCGATCAGGTCCAGTTAAGCAACTGCCACTTCTGGGGGAACTTACCCCTCACCCCGCCCCACCCCCCCCACCCAGAGGTAAGATGTGATGATGTGGCCGCGTGGGCCAATCATTCCGTTAGATCCCCCCCCACCCCCCGACCCCCTCACCCCACTCCACCCGGATGTAAGATGTGATGATGTGGCCGCATGGGCCAAATTGAAATCATTGACAATTCCCACATCTCACCATCATTTCCCATCGATGTGCAAGTGACCCGCTGGGTCGATGCGGTCGATGCGTAAGTGACTCTCCGATGCGCAAGTGACCCCCGATGCGCAAGTGACCCATTTTGCGATGCGCAAGTGACCCTCCTGCCGCGCGGGGCGTCAGAACATGCACCCTATGCCCAAAAAAAACCCTATTGTAAGAATATTCAACGTTAATAAGCCGGCGCCAATAAAAATTGAAGAACTCTGGGAAAACCACTTGGCGCGCAGCCACTGATCAGCCATTTCCAAGTTCCATCAATTTCCACACACGTACTTTTAAAAAGTTGACACCTACCTCAAAGAACATTTCCTTTTCAACTGCGAAATCTCTCCATACTTCTCCCAGCGCTCTTTCTCCATGGCTTCAAACGGTTCACAGATAAACTGGTTTGTTGAAACCCGGCTTTGACAGATGCACTGATGATGACAGCAGATCCAGAGATCTAGCAAACCTTCAACTAGACCTTAAGAGAACGGACTCCTTCGCACGCACCCCACACGTCCTTCACATCATCTTGGCTTAAAGCTTGGGCGACAGGAAAAGGAATCTCTTTTCTACACCTGTCTCTCAAAGGAACACGCTGGCCCCGCTCGCTCGCGTTCATCAGTCTATAGGCCGGCATCGGTGGATTTTTGGTGTTTCATGGTGCGCTTTTAACTCTGATACGGCCACGTGATATTGCCGATTCAACGTATACCGGATCACAGTGACCGAAGAAACCTTCCTCCTCAGCGCAAGCTGATTGCCTGAGGTGCTACCCACCTTGGAAGTCCACGAGTTCCCTGTCCGTACCGCCAGGTGGATCAGGGTGAGTTTCACACAACCTTTCAGCCGAGTCCCTGTGGTGGTCGTTGCCCCAACCAAGGGCAAAGGCCCGGCCGCGATCCGCTTGAAGGACATCACCGCCATCGGTTTCTCTGCCATCATCGCCAAGCCACCTAAGAGCGGCAAGGTGGAGCCAGGCGGGGAAGATCGGGAAAATGCGCCGGTGAAAATAACATCGTTAACGGATTCTATCGTTTTTCCACATGGGTTTTGATAGAAAACAGGGAAAGGGCCATCGCGACTGTTTGTTCTAGCCAGGGTCAATCTCGCAGTTTAATTGTTTTTTGCATTTTGTTTGGCGCCTAAATCCTCTTAGGTATCCGTAGGCCACGGTGCTATTGACGTCGCAGCTTGACCCATCTTGAGGTCAATCAGATGAGAGCATGTGGGTGAGTTACCTGGCCGTTTTGCCGGGTGTTCATGAACTCAACGGTGTTTGGATGGAGGCCGGTCGTACCAACACGAAAAGCTTGAAATTTGGCAAGAAATGCAAACCTGGTGGCGACTCGGCGCAATTGGTTTGAGCGTTTGAGGTTGGCGGTTGGTTTGAGGTAGTTTTCTACAGAGAGCGCAAGGCTCGCGTGATGCGGCAGGTTTTCTCATGGAACATGAAAAGGTTTTACAGAGTCGTGAGAGTGGCCATAAATCAATGTGGACACAGCATGAAACCAATGGTTTGACCAATGGTTCGGAGTCGGCTGGTCGGTAAAAGTTGCGTTGTGGGGTTGGCGCACGCATGCTTTGCTTCAATCCCACGCGCCCCGGAACGCTGTTTCTCAGAAGACCAACACTATCATAATGAACGATAGTGTTTGATATTTTGTCATTTCCTTTTAGTCCGTATATGCTGCGGTATGTTGCATCACTTTGACATGGAGGTTTGGTCTCGAGCCACGAATCGAGGTCTCAAACAGGATCCCTGGGGCGAGATTGAAGAAACTCGTTTCGAGCACACCTTCACGCGGCCACCGGCCTTGTTGACCACCATTCAGACGGTGAACAACGAGAAAGGCTTGCCGTCCAACTCACGGCCTTGGTTGACAGTTGCTCGGACAATCTTGGCTGTCGTTGGACACTGATTGGATTTGGTGGAATTGTTGAATCGTCCTTCGTTGCTGAGGTTGCTGTGCAGCGGGTGAATGAGGATAGCACTAAGGCCGAAGCCTCAGAATTTCCTCGCAGCCGTCTTGACATAGTGGCTCGGCTTGACGGATCGCGAATCGAGGTCGCCTTGGAGATGTCTGAAACGACCGAGTACGGGAAGGCGGAGCGAGGGAGCTGGGAGGGCATGAGAATGATGGGTATGTCTGAATGGAAAGCTGCCCCTAGAAAGTCTCCAAGTGTTCGAGCCGGTCCGCAGGTTGATGAGCGCGAGAAAGTGGGCTGGATCGCCATCGAGCAAGGCATTCACACTCTCTTAGGTTCCACAGGCTGGAGTCATAGAGCTTTGAATCTGAAGATGATGTATACAACAACGGATCAACGCGGATCAACAATTCTTTCGTGTTGAATGTTCATGCGTGTGGTTTGTATAACTCATATTGCTGTCAGAAGGAGGTGGCGTGGGGCCTGGATCTTTGTATGTGGTTTGCAATATGTTGCAAGCGCTAAAAGACAATCAACTCACCGAACCAAATACACGTGCTCTCATGCATGATTAAGGCACCATTTGTTTAACGACGCATTTTTCTGGTTTGTTTTTGGAAGCATTTGAGGTGTTTGACATTGCAAGTGCCCGAGCATTCAAAAAGGCACAACTACGGTGGTTTGCGGAGATCTATGGAGAGTTTTCCATGTTTTTGGAATCCCCTAAATGCCGAGTCTTCCAAAAATAAAGAGACAACTGCAAAGATGATGGGGCCCGATCTGGGAATATTATTGTTGAATGTTTAAACTAAACTTGAGGTTTTTGGCATGCGTGTCAACATGTGTCAACGCACAACAAATGCATACCGGCTTCTATGTATAGCATTTTCCTGCCTGAATGTGCAGCCTTGTAACTTGACACACAGCATTCAAAAGCGCCCAACTACTCGGTATGCGCGCCATAGATGGCCGTGTGCTTCTGCGCTCTTCTACGCGCGTGATTCGTTGTATTCAACATTTGCAGGGGCGCTGGTGAGAAATTGGAAGGTCTGAAGTGCGTATTGGAACACGGTTCCTGATTGGGGAGAAGAAAGATGTGTTCAAAACGCCTCAGAAATACAGACAGTTCAACGCTAACACTTCACAACCCCAGAAACTAACGACACCTCGGTGTTTTTTCACGTCTTCAGGAGCCGTTCAAGCAAAAAAGTCTTTCAGGGTATCCGGAAATAAACGCCAATTGTTTTTTTGAAAGTCTCAACAGCGACACTAAACAAAGGGAAACCAAACTGCTCAAACACAACTCCCTCATGGAGTTGCATATCTATATCATGAGACACAACCTGCAGTGCAATTTTCGATGATCAACCCACAAAACAAACCTGTGAGGCCTCACTGACACCGTTCAGAACCCGCAATAATAATGTAACCATCCATAGCCCATAACATCATTACGTCATTACCCACCCACCCCACGCCACCCATGTATGTGTGTGTGTGTGGCCCCCTCTGTTTCTAAGAGTCTAATTTGTTTCAATGCAATCGCAGGGGCGTGTGACACTCTTATCCTATCACACGCAACGAAGCTGTGGATAAGAGTCGGAAGGGAAACTTGGCCAGTTTCCTGTACCTGCGTTTTGAACTGTTGACCCCCTCCGCTGTTTGTTGTTTCCATGGTCCTTGCATGTTAGACCCCAAAACCATTTTCCACCGCAGACTTACAGCAGACTTGCAGCCGCGCTGAGCGTCGGATCGTTTTCTGACTGCGCTTGCGAACAGTGTTGAACAATACTTTTCCGCGGACTTTGCCACCTTTCCGTTCCATCACCTATTTTGACCTGGGAATAGAGTTAGCTGCAAACCCATTGTCCAAGTGTGTGCCGCTGTGCCGTCCCACTTGGGTGCACAGTGTGATCCTCCGCAAGGAGGCGCCGTGTAACTGAATCAACAGTTTCCTGCACACGTTGGATTATCTTAACTGATTTTCGTTTCACCACTGTATTCTCGAAATCTAAGCCGCCGGGCTTCACGGATTTGCGATCGTTTTTGCAACTGATTGATTGTTCACTGCGCTGCCAGCTTTCAATGTCAGGATCGAGATGAGTTTTCCTCACATGTTTCAAGTTGTACGACTCTAAGATGTTTGCAATTGAACAGTTCCTCAGATACTTGCATGTTACTTCATCTAATTCGAACGCCCAGTACATTTCTTGATTTTTCCACCTCGTTTCTACTCTCTGTCGCTGCGAGCCTGCCGCGCTGCCGTCATACCTGCAGCTGCCCGCTGGACTCATCAGCAGACGATCTTGATACTTTATCACGACTATGCAATTTCCATTTGCCGTTTCCTTATTTACCACAACCCGAGCCAAGTCACCCACCTCGGACAATTCCCATTGCGCATCCGCTACCGCCACAGCCCACACACACTACCCTCCAACACCTATGCTGCAGCAGCCGACATGGCCTCCACCTCATACTTTTCCTCCACCGCCACAACCTCAACTCATCCCCACCAGGCCCCGGTCACAGTGTCTCCAGCGCCGGGCAATCCCACTCAGTACACCGCCACTTTCTCTTGAGATCCGCAGCACGATTCTCAACCTTCCCACCTGTCACCAGCCAAGACTCCACCCAATCTACAGCTCAAGAACCGACACCTCCACCAGCCATCCATCCCACATCTTCACCAACCGCACCAGGTTCCACAGCAACAGGTCCTGCGCACCCCTCTTCTCAACCTTCTACAGCAGCCCCTGCAGACGCTCCAAAACAGCCAGCCTCCACACATGCCGGCTCCGCCCAATCAACCGCAGCTGATTCCATCCACCCGGCAGCGCCTCCAACCATCGAACCATCTCACCGCCGACGCCGCCGACGCAGACATCATGGACGCCGGCGCCGCCACCACAGAGGTCGATCAGACTGCCATTCCAACTGTGGCTCTCGCCACCATTCGCACACCAACACAGCCTCTCACCGGGAACCCTCTACTTCCTACACTAATTCTTCTCCATCACGCAGCCGCTCCAGCCAATCTCATCCACCCGTCACTTTGCGACCCAACACAGATTTCGCAAACTATCACTCCACCTCTGCCACAGCATCAGCTCCATCAGCTCCGCAGGATACCTACCCCAAGCACCCCAGTGTCCGCCGTGTCCTCAACCCTTCACCCCACTTCACCCAAAAGCCTCCGCGCGAACAACTCGAGATTTGGTTGGACTACCACGCCGATCGGCCGGTTCCTTCCAAGCACCCTCCACTTTGCGCGCAACACCGGCCTTTTTGCGCAAGGCGTGCGCGTTGCGCAAAAATTCCCTCACGACCACGCTGAACAAGCCCGCATCCTTTTCAACACTTGGAACGCATCCTTTTCAACACTTGGAACCTTGCCAAAAACGCCCACTCCATCATCATCTCCCTCCTCGCTTGGGGCGCCGGCAAAAAGTTTGCCCACGGAGGCGAAGAACACGCAGCCACTTCTACAACAAAATCACGGCGCCGTTTTTCACCACAACGGCCGCTGCTGGGTCATCCACCCTCACAACGCCATTGTCCGTGGACTGGCTTGGTCCGCAGACGCCACACCACCAGACACATAGCCAATCTTCCACACATCCACTTTCACCTCTTTTCACTCTCAAGGTCTCACCCTTACCCCAGATACCAGCTGCCCCACGGCAAAAAAGCTGCTGCGGCTCCTGCCTGACCGCCTAATTCATTTCCGTTGCAAGCCTGCAGTTTGTGTGACTTATGACCACTTTCGTGCCATGATTTTTCGGCGGTTGGTTTTTCAGTTGTGTTTTTCATGACTAACATGCATGACTGACGTCACCGTGGCTCGATTGAATTCAATTGCTCCACAATTAAGGATCCTAGATATAAAAAAATCCAGATTAATCTGGTTTGAAACGAATCAACCTGGATTGGTTCCCCATTTTTTTCAATCTGCAGGATTGGTTCTGAGGTCGTATATGAACACCAATCTGCAAATTTCTGGATTGATTCTGATGGAGACCATAAATCTTGAACCCAGGCAACTTGTTGTAAAATGAAAAACCAATCCAGGCTTGGTTTATTTGCGCTAGGTTGTGTATGAAAATAGTGATCTAGCTTGTTTCTGTGGTATGCCAAAAGTGAGCACGTAGACACATTTTTTCTGCTGGTCAGAAGGCTTTGTTTCAAGCCTTTACGCAAGGCTTCTTTGTTTCAAGCCTATGAATTGCGCTTTGCTGTGTGCTTTGAAAGAGAAGTTTGGGTTTTTGCAAGCCCAGAGTTTGAGCTTTAAACAGCTGCTGTGTGTACAAAACATAAGGATTGCAACAACACATTTCCTTCAAACACCAACACCAACATTGGCTAGGAAGACAGGCCTGCTGGTCAAGCACTCCTTTTTAAAAACTTGTTTACCTGTGCTGTTGGTCAGAAGTCTTTATTCCAAACCTCTACTGGAAGGCTCCCTTCCAAGCCTTAAGTAAAGAGGCATCTTGGACCAGTTCTTCACCAGGTATTTTTTGAAAACCAACAAGTCTGCCTGTTCTTGGATGTGCTTCCATTGGTATGAGCTTGTCATTTGGCCACTTAGGCTTTATTTCAAGCATGGTTGCAGAAGAATAGGAAGGATGCGTTCCTTTGTCAGTTTCTCCTGCGCAGCTGTCATCGCATGTTCTCCCTTTGTCCCGCCTACTCTGCCCATCCCAACCCTGGCTGCTACAACCACCTTTGTCCCACCAATTTTTCATTCCACGCCAATCCTTGCTGGACCCATCTCTTTTAACCCGCCAATCTCCTTTGTCCCACCAATCCTGGCTGGACCATTCTCCTTTGTCCCACCAATCTTCCCCTTGCCACCCCTGGCTGGAGCCATGGCTGTTCCAATCTTTCCAAGACATGGCTTTGTTGCAAGCCAAAGGTGAATGAGCTCATTTCAAGCTGCACAGTGGAGGTTTGTTGTTCAAGTTTGGGCTGGAAAAGCTGCGCAGAAAACTACACATTCAAAAGCAATGACTTCAGTGGCCTCAAACTATATATAGGTAAAATCCAGTTAAGCGTGTGACTTGTTCTTTTGCGTGCGCAGTTTTCACTCAAGAGGCTATGCGTCTAAAAGGCTTTGTTCCAAGCCTGCCACTGCTTCAAGAAGCCCTGGTCAGCCTCATATGCAAAGCGCAAAGGTATTTCTCTGTCAAGCTCATGGCTTGGCTGACCTGGTGCCATGGGAACAGGAATGCGCCAAAACAGCAAGGCTACCAATCCAAGGTTCATTGTACTAGCGCCAAGAAGTTCTTTAGGGTTTTGGTATCTTGCAAACCAAACCAGCCAATATGATGGCAAAAGTGTAGCTTTGGGAAAAGCCGGAAATACACTTCCAAATCCCTGTGGAATGGAAAGTTGTGAATCAACCAGCAATAATGTTGAAGTGTAGCTTTCAAGGATTGGAATGCTTCCTTTGCCAAGGCATCACTCAAATGTATGTC